AATAACGACATAATCCGTCGTCAATTTATAAAAATGTAAAACGAAAAGTAATGAAGTCCAAAAATGGTTTAACCCTCCTAATCTATGTTAATTATGCTGCAAATACAATTATTCATTTTTGCTACTTCCGAAAACCGGAAGTGACGACATGTATAAAATGTCTTCAAACAGTTATGTAGGTTTTTAATGAATTAATAAGACAGTACAACCAGTGTAAGAAATTGCGAAGGGAGTTATTTTGAGAAATTTCACTGCGTTGTTTTTGACGTTATAATGTTGTTAAGTATGTTCCGCAGTGACAAATATATTTAAAATTAAGTACCATGATTTCAATTTAATCAAATAGATAGAAAATTCCCATATCGATCAAATTAACATGAATACTTCTGCATTTGAAAATGTGTTGATCATAAACCTTTTCAAATTTATAACAGCCAGAGCGATATTTAAGATTACTTTGAATGACCTTATGTCAATTTTAAAAAAAATATTTCCAGTGTTCAAAAGATATCAAAACTTATAGGTGTCAAAAAGTTTGATGATTCTCAATCGTAGAGATGGTGTTTTTAAAGCATGACATTTAAATTCACCTTGTTGTTTAAAAAGATATTGAGTAAGTTGTTTAAAATTATGCTAAATAAAAAATAAGCATTTTGCAAGAAATTCTGTGTTTCACAGTCAGTGAGGAATATTATTGTCTGTTTCCAAACAAGAAAAAGAAGAACAAAGGAAACAAATTTTGATTGAAATATTTTGTCATCAAAACCAAATTAAACGCATAAGGTTCAAGGTCATTAAACAATACAAAAAGTGGTGCATGGAAAACACAGCCTTTTTAAACATCAGAGGTTGGATCTGATATCATGGATGAGTAAGCATTCCCTTCCGAGCGGTCACGCCTGCCATGTGTTTGCCGAAATGATGGGGAAGTAACGGACATTTCTGTAAACAAATCAGGTTATAAATAATGGCCTCAATATTAGCATGAAGGATGTAAGTCAGCATCTGATTTAGTGATATATTTAAAGTATTTGCTTACAAGCTCAGTGACGACGACGCACGGAAAAATTACTTTTTATGCTCCCAGAGACATATGCTAACCCAAAACTTGTCAAAAACAGCAAAAAAATGCGTTTTCCGACTACTTCCGGTTTGACCGGAAGTGACGAGATAAAAACCTTGTTTGCTATAAACGTTTATTGCTTGTCATTTTGAACAACTTTGCTTCTTTACGTATTACAAATTCTAAATACTTTTTGAGATATAAAGGAAAAACTTTCGGCCCCTCTCGGCCCCTAAATTAAGGGGCCAGCCCTTTTTCTGAGGTATCATTTGAAAGATCTCTGAATTCTGTACATTTTTTGTTCTACATGTTTTAACAAAATATTTCTAGGTAAAAAGTTATTGTAGAAAAGGTGTTTAAAATTTTGAAATTCTTGACAGGACTATTTTTGGGCCATAGCGAGCGTCGGCGCTTCGTACTTCCGGTGGTTGTGATATACGAAATTCACTTCTCCAAAGGTTGCTCTAGCTTCACTGAAAATTTCATGCTTCTGCGTTGAGTGGTTTTTCAGAAAACTGCCGGACAAAGTGACCCTCTGAAAATCACTAAAACGCGGAAAACTCAAAACCGGAAGTGACGTCATCAAAACCAAAAAATATATATCTAGTTTTTTTTTATTCTCTATCAGTCCTGAAAGTTTCATGAAAATCGAGCAAGCCGTTTTCGAGAACTCGCGTGCACAAAATCGGTAAGAAAAAAAACAATAATAATAATAATAATAAAAATAGTGGAAAAGAAACCTAAGAATAACAGTAAGGTCTTCCGCTGAAGACGGAAGACCTTAATAAAAGTGAAAAAGAAACCTAAGAATAACAAGAAGGTCTTCCGCTGAAGACGGAAGACCTTAACTAGTGCTAATTGTAACGGGAACCGTTACAGATGTTCCCCAAACGCTCCCCAACTCCCTTTTAGTGCCTAAAAACCATTTTAGGTTAAAAAACGAGGGAGTTATAGCCTTTTGAAGTTTCAGCCAATCAGATTGCAGCACACATGGATGCACGTGATTTCATAAATTTTTATCTTTATCGCATGAAAGGATATCATAATGAATGACTATATTTCAAATTCCAAACATTTCGTCAAAAAACAAAGGAGATATAGCTAATTAAAGTTTCAGCCAATCAGATTGCAGCACACGTGCATGCGCGTGATTTCATGAACTTCTTTCTATATCATATTGTAGGATATTCTAATGCACGACTATGTTTTAAATCTCAAAGCATTTCGTCAAAAAACAAAGGAGATATAGCCATTTAAAGTTTCAGCCAATCAGATTGCAGCACGCGCGCATGCGCATGCTTTCATGAAAAATTTTATATATCATGTCGTAGATCTTCATAATATAGGACTATGTTCAAAATTTCAAAAGATTATGACAAGAAACAAGAAAGATATTGAGACTTTAGTTTCAGCCAATCAGAGCGAAGCGCACGTGCATGCGCGTGAGATCTTGCTATTTTGACTATGCCATCTTGTCTATACTACTAATGTATCCTTACATTATGAGATTCAAAAAAATTCATTAGAAAAAAGAAAAGTTACAGCAATATCCATTATTTTGGTCATTTCACGTGTTGCACGTGCGCGCTCTTGCAAGCACGTGCGCGCAAAATGACCTTCGTTCGGCAAATCTACATAACATGTCTACTGACCCTAAAAACATTTTACCTTAGTCGGATGTGTAGTTTACAAGATCACTCGTGGACAAAATTTTTCCAGGAATAATAATAATAACTAGAGCAAAGCTCGTTGCAAAGCAACGAGTAGGTCTTCCGTCCGGTTTTGACCGGAAGTGCCGGAAGTAACGTCAACAAAAGAAAGCAATGAGCTTAGTAGTCTCCAGTGACTTTATAATTTCAATTTTGCATCAAAACCTTCAAAATAAACTTTTTTTGGCTACTTCCAGTTTGACCGGAAGTGATGTCGACGGACGGAAAATTAAGTATTTTGCTTCCAGTGACATTTGTTACCCAAAAACATGTCAAAAATGGCCAAAATATCCTTTTTTTGACTACTTCCGGTTTGACCGGAAGTGACGTTATTTGACGACTTTCGACAATTCAGGCTTCATTTCCGGCTGACATCAAAGCCGAAAGACCAGAAAAAACTCAAATTAAACCATTTTTTTCTATTTCTTTTGATTCAAGAGAGAAAGTTAAATTTTTCGTCAACTTCCGGTATAAACCGGAAGTACTTCAAATCGATGCTTTTTGTTGACGATTGTGAATGTAAACATAAGTTCTGTTTGCCTTTATTCACGACGGTTTAATTTTTCAAAAAATCTTGAAATTAAACATCACTTCCTGTGTCGACCGGAAGTGACGGATGCCAAATTAAAAGACGTAATACATATCTTAAAGAGATGTTTTACCATCCCTGAAAATTTCGTGATTCAGTCTTGAGTGGTTTACAAGAAGATGCGTGGACAAAATGACGATTTTAAAAATGAAAATCGGACAAAAAATGCGACCGGAAGTGATTTTTTAAAAAATGAAAAAAAGGTCTGGAGATATTACTAAAATGCATCATTCCTGAAAAAATCATTGAAATCGGTTCTGTAGTTTTCGAGAAATCTCGTGTACTATGAAAAGGGAAAAATAATAATAATAGGAAACATAAGAAAAACAGTAAGGTCTTCCGAAGGAAGTCGGAAGACCTTAACTAGAGCAAAGCTCGTTGCAAAGCAACGAGTGGGTCTTCCTTCCTAGCGATAAGCAAAAGATTAAATGTTTCTGTCTAGATTGTTAACTTTGCTAACATTCTCTTTTTCGATTTGTCTCAAAACCCTTACTTGAATTCTTTAATTTGGTCTGAGCATGAGGTCTAAAGGGTACTCTCTCTAACAGCATTCTTGAAATCGTATCCACAACAGTTTAACTTCCAATATTATGACTTTTGATATCGGATATATCATGTTTGTTGCAATTATGTTTGTGAAACGTGTCATACTACAGAAACATAAGTGTTTTGCTACATTACCATCTTAAAAATGGCTTTAAAATCATTTAATATACAATATAACTAGGTAAATAAAATAAACAAATTATATAATAATTCAAAAAATCCAAATGTATTTACAATAATGATGAACAATCTTCATTAGTTGCAATCAGTAAGTAGAACAATACTTTTATAATAAACGCACAGAAATGTGTTGTGTATGTTTCGAATTTGAAGCTTTCCACTAGCAACTGGTGGTACCTCAATAGGAGTGTAAAATTCTCTGAAAGGTACCGGTATATTGTGAACATATTACATATGGCTGTGTATTCTTTTTTAGCGGCTTTGGCGGAATGCAGCAATCACTAAATCAAGTACAAAGCTAAAAGTCTTGTACATAAACATAAATAAGAATATCTACTCTAACTTATTCAAAAGTCAATTTCCACCAAATATTGTACAAGCTAAATATAATACATTTACAGCATTAAAGAAACAAATCTCTTTGAAGGTATTGCCCTGCATAAGAACAATTTGAATCCCCTACACTAAGGATGATCTGTGCCAAGTTTCACTTTGGTTCTGGAAAATGATATTGTGAAATTTTAGACAATGATGATAATGGATAAAATTATGTTTTTAAAAAATTTACTGGTTCCTTTAGCTCAGATGGGCTAATAAGTATGCAACAGGCACAGTTTTGGAGTTGACATTGAAATGCGACTGGACATCTCTTCAATCTTGTTTTAGAAAACTACATGTACATGCCCTATGTACTGAATTCCATGGAATCATACACATGTTTATGCCTTTAATTAGTTGTATGCGCCAAAATAACAATTTTTTTTACATTATACTGTAAAAAATACTAATGTATTACAAGATCTTATATTCCTGCTGAAGACAGAGGATCTATCTTAATCATTAGAATAAGTAAGTCTAAACTTTGAAAGGGAAGACCTTAATAAAGAGGTCAACATGCAACACAAACAAAATATTATTATATTTAAAAATAACATTTATTCCAATGTAATTACTGGTACATGTATTTCTGTTACAAAAACTATTTCACTTGAAAAACTGAGAGCAATTGATATGTTCATATTTGTGGATTTATGTTGTCAAATCAAAATTTAAAAATGATACACAGTGTGTTTAAAAATTGTATTCACAAACCAAAACTTGACTTATTTTCACTATGCTGTTTATTCCATGTCACATCCAAACAGATGATCTTCTGGCAAAACATGGTCATGCTTGGTATCAAAATTCAGTATTCAGATGAGTCACACCTATCCAAAAGAAATTGGAATTTTTAAATTTATAATTCTTTTACTAATAATAAGTGCAATTCATGAGATTATAAATTAGATTATCAAATTGAGAGATAAGATATTGTCACATTTTCTGTGTATAATTTGTAAATTTTAATGTACTCTTTCATCAATTAAAAGAAGTTTACACCAATTAAGGCAGTCATTTATGCTATCCCCTAATAAGACAACATACAAGTGCAAAGTAATCATGCTCTAGTGGGTTTAGGATAATGTGCTAGAGTATTTATGACAACATACTAGCATGAGGTGACAATGTGCTAGCATGTACGTCAGTGATAATATGCCAGCACACTGAATCCAACATGCAGTGAAGCTAACACTCAACAGATTGTTTAGAGTTGTGTTTGCATGATATTTTGTTTTGTGTAAACACAGCAGCGTGTTGTTTAAAGCTGCATTGGAGTGGCAGTCTGTTGAAATTAACATGCTAACACACTGCAACTTCACATCATTGGAACACCATAATTTTAAAACTGGCAAACCAATATCTTATGATTAATAACAAGGTAATTGCAACTGTAAATGCTGATTTCATGGTGACAATAATACCGGTAATTCACTGTATATCTGAGAACTGATCAATTATAATAAGGCGTGTCCAGATAGAGCCACTTGCTAAAGCTCAATAGCACTTTTATAAAAGCGTGCCATCTTACCAACACTAAAGACGCCATTAGGTTATCACACAGCTCGCCACCACAACACTGAAAAACACTTTCGCACTAATACAAGTTCGCACCACACGCTGTCACACTAACACACAACACACTGTGACGCTAATACAATTTCACACAACAAAATATCAGGCTAACACGAGTTCACACAACACACTATCATGCTAACACAAATTCACAAACACGCTGTCTCGCTAACACAAGTTCACACAACATGCTGTCTTGCTAACACAAGTTTTACACAACACGCAGTCTCGCTAATACGAGTTCATACAATACACCGTCTAGCTAACACAAGTACACGCAACACACTGTCACGCTTAGATGAATTCACACAACACACTGTCACGCTAACATGAGTTTACACAACACACAGTCTCACTAACACGAGTTTACACAATACACTGTCATGCTAACACGAGTTTACACAATACACTGTCACGCTAACACAAAGTCACAAAACAGGCTGTCTCACTATTCACTAACACAAGTTCACACCAAATGCTGTTGCGATAACACACTGTCATCCTAATACCATTTCACACAACACACTGTCATTCTAATACCATTTCACACAACACACTGTCAGGCTAACACAAGTTCACACAAAACACTGTCACGCTTTGTTGAATTCACAAAACAGGCTGTCTCACTATTCACTAACACAAGTTCGCAACAAACGCTGTTGCGATAACACACTGTCATCCTAATTCCATTTCACACAACACACTGTCATCCTAATACCATTTCACACAACACACTGTCAGGCTAACACGAGTTCACACAACACACTGTCACGCTAACACAAATTCAAAAAACATACAATATCGCTAACACGAGTTCACATAACACGCAGTCTGGCTAACACGAGTTCACACAATATGCATTCTCGCTAACACGAGTTCACACAACACACTATCTCTCTAACACCAGTTCACACGACAAATTTTCAGGATAACAAGTTCACACAACACACTGTCACGCTAACAAGAATTCACACAACATGCTGTCTCGTTAATAAGAGTTCACACAACACGCTGTTTTGCTAACATGAGTTTACACAACACGCAGTCTCGCTAACACGAGTTTACACAACACAAAGTCTTGCTAATACGAGTTCAATCAACACTCTGTCTAGCTAACACGAGTTTACACAACACACTGTCACACTTACACTTTATACATGATTTCACACATGACGCTGTCCCGCTAACACGAGTTTACTCAACACATCGTCAAGCTAACAAGAATTCACACAACCCACTGTCAGGCTAACACAATTAAGTTCACAAAACACACTGCCTTGCTAACACAAAACAGGCTGTCTCACTATTCACTAACACAAGTTCGCACCAAACGCTGTTAAAATAACACTGTCATCCTAATACCATTTCACACAACACACTGTCATCCTAATACCTTTTCACACAACACACTGTCAGGCTAACACGAGTTCACACAACACACTGTCACGCTAACACAAATTCAAAAAACATACAATATCGCTAACACGAGTTCACATAACACGCAGTCTGGCTAACACGAGTTCACACAATATGCAATCTCGCTAACACGAGTTCATACAACACACTATCTCTCTAACACCAGTTCACACGACAAATATTCAGGATAACAAGTTCACACAACACACTGACACGCTAACACGAATTCACACAACATGCTGTCTCGTTAATAAGAGTTCACACAACACGCTGTCTCGCTAACATGAGTTTACACAACATGCAGTCTCGCTAACACGAGTTTACACAACATGCAGTCTCACTAACATGAGTTTACACAACACGAAGTCTCGCTAATACGAGTTCAATCAACACTCTGTCTAGCTAACACGAGTTTACACAACACACTGTCACACTAACACTTTATACACGATTTCACACAACACGCTGTCCCGCTAACACGAGTTTACTCAACACATCGTCAAGCTAACAAGAATTCACACAACCCACTGTCAGGCTAACACAATTAAGTTCACAAAACACCCTGCCTTGCTAACACAAATTCATACAACACACTGTCTTGCTAACACAAGTTCACACAACACACTCACATTGCTGAGTTTAAAGTAAAGGTCTACCCTAATTTGAAGAGGTTTAACACTAACATATCTCTATATTAGTAAAGAGCTTCAAATTTAAGACAAAAACATTTATGCGGTAATGTTCCTTAACATGCATCTGGCATATAAAATGAATGAGACCTTAAAAACCTCACAGTACATGTTTACTTAGCTAATTAAAGGTCTAAATTGATGCTATTCAACAATATAGATCAACATCTCTAAGTATGTGAATGAGTGAAATTCTCAAATAAATATTATAAATCAAAGTATCAATAAGAAGCTGAACCTTACGTCGCAGGTTCCAATCCCATTGCTAAATTCTTTAGACAGGTTACTCCTATGAGACTGCATAAACCAAGATTCTGTGTCACGGTAGGTGTTAGCACAAAATGGATCTCATACTTCTTAAAGGCAATAAGTGCTGAGTACAAGTCTATATTTGCAGCTAATACCATCCCAAGTGGTGGCACCATGAAATGACTGAAAAATGTATGATTAAGGCAAATAAACAAACATTAAAGCCGCTTAACCTGAAACAGGCACTTATTATCTTACACAATAAAAGTACGTCATTTCATAGATAATATATAAAAATAAATTATAGGATTGATTTAATAGTTAATTACAACAATCATTACATGGAAAACGCAGATCAAAAACCTTATTGACAAACAGTAGTTCCTGACGGAAGTTAAGATCTGTTGTGAAGTCAATTTTGAAAAAAATAAGTTTATCGGATATATCTAATAATGAACATAATTCGAACCCGAGTATTTTCTTCTCTATTATTAGAAGCCTTAGTCATCATACATCTTTTCAAAATTAAGAAATTAATTGAATATAATTCATAGTAATTTTTATATTAATATTAGGGATGTCAAATCGGTCAATTTTTAATACTCGGTTACTCGGACGTTTTTCCGATCGAGTACCCGGGTACTCGGTAAAAGTGTAAATAAATATAAACAGGTAAATTGATGAATGTAAAACATTGTAAACTCTTGTAGAAATAAAACCACGTGCTCTGATAGAAGAATTACCCATTCATGCATTTCTGTTGTATCAATGATGAACACTTCGTGCCAGACGAAATTTATTTTTTAAGTTCAATTTATTTATCAGATAAACACAAGAAATAAAATCATTAGTGGTTCACAGTGTTTTTGTTTAAAAAAATCTACGCCGTAATTGTAATGTAACTCTTTGTTGCGTTTGACGTCCAGGTATCAGTCCTACAATTTGACATGAACTTCACCAAGTTCTAACAGAGCGGATTTTGCGATTTTCGTATACTTTTCGATCCTAGATTTTATAGTATTACGGAACGGTATTTTGTAGTGAGGTGCAACTATGGACATCATAGTTTTTAAAGCCTTTGCCTTCAACCATTGTTCATGTATTGGCATGTAATCAAACACAGACATCAACAATCGCACGTGTAATATCACCTGTTTCTTTTCTCGAGAATTTACGTCTTCTCGGAGATTTGACAAAATTGTCTAATTTATTCAATAATAACAGACCTTAAACGATGTTCAGTTAAACAAATAAAGCAAATCATTAAATTAGAGTAGAAGACAGCCGAAGGTGAGAAAAGCCAGGTAACAGGTGCTTGGTCACGATAATTACTGTATAAACACTGCCACGGGCGATAACGGTTATTTAGAGGAGTAGGAAACCCTAATTACTGTATGTACAAGTGCAATGAGTATTTTACGTTTTAAAACAGATTGTTTAATGCATTAATAAATAAACATAGAAATATTTAAAAATACACATCCGAGTAACCGAGTACCGATTTTAGTATTCGATACTCGGACGTTCGATCGAGTACCCGGTTAACCGGGTACTCGTTGACATCCCTAATTAATATGCATATTTAAAGAATAAAGGAAAATCAGATATTTTAAATGATTTTT